GTTAGTTATAACTTCGACTATATTTTTTTTGATCTGTTTCGATTGTGACCTGTTAAGTTTTTCTGATTTACTTCTGTAGATTATCGATTTGCCAGATTGTATAATTTTAAAACTAATAAACGATGTTTCCCGTGATAACGGGCTGTAAATAATTGTTTTATTTTTCTTTTTTCTTTTATTAATGAATTGTCTTTATATCTTTACCATTTTTTTTGTTAAAGATATAAAGACGCTCTTTTTTCTACACAATGTTATAACTTAGGGATAGAAGCTCTTTTCCAACACAATATAAGTACTTTGAGATATATAATTTATGAGTTGTTTTTTTATTCTTGAGGTTTCGGATTCTTTTCATACATGCTCCATGGTTGCAAGAGATTTTCGCACCCTGTTAGTTGTTAAGTTATTTTCTCAAAAGGAACGGTCTTTAAGGTGTTTAATCTGAGAAAAGTAAGGCATAACACTGCGCTTAAATTACAGCGCCATTCTAAGTAGTAGGTAGCCTCCACTTAACAGAAAGTTCGCTAAACGCTGTTAGGGATGAAACGAAGGCATACCAGTACGATTAAATTAAAGCGCCATTCAGACCCTCTAGCATGAGCACCGTGATATGATAAATAACACGTTTTTATCACGTTCAATTGTCAAATAACTACAGTTTGACAGTTACACGTGTTAAAAAACGGTATATAATTTAAATTGTGGGGCTCATGCCGCAGGGACTGAGGTATCCTCCACATAACAGAAGAAAGATCGCTAAACGCTGTATCTAATGTCTATACAGCGCAAGCCTATATTCTTCATCGTCGTTTCCTCATGGCTGAGGGTCGTGACCTTTGAGGACAGCACATTTCACGAACGATCTCCAGACCGTTCTGTGTTCTGCAAGGCGGATGGACGCCTGTTGCCATTCGTAGTTTCTTTAACTATGTCCAACCACCGGGATGGAGACCTGCCCCTACTCCTCTTGCCTTCCACGTTTCCCACGACCAGAAGCTTTTCAAAATTATCCGGGCTTCTCCTTGCTACGTGACCGAAGTATTTTAGAAGGCGCTGCATGCAGACAGAAGAGAGACGCGTCTTGATACCCAGCTCCTTCAAGATAGATGCATTAGTTCTTCGTGTGGTCCAAGGTATGTGTAGCATTCTGCGCCAACACCACATTTCAAATGCATCAATCCTGGAACGGACGCGTGCTTTCAACGTCCAGGTTTCGGAAGCGTACAAGAAAATCGAGAAGACCAGGGCACGCGTCAGCCGCACTTTAGTGGATTTAGTAATTCCTCTGTTCTTCCAGATCCTCTCCAATCGCTTCACGGCAGCCTTTGCCATCTGTCCGCGTCTGACCACCTCCGCTTCGCAGTCCCAGTCATTGCGTATAAGTGATCCCAGGTATACAAAACTGGTAACTGTGTCTAAATCACTCAGCTCAAATGTTCTTACCAACTTGTCAGCTCTATCGACAAACATAAGCTTTTATGATATCCATCCATTAAATAAATAAATAACACTGATATCCATTAAATAAATATTGTATAACATCATATACACTATTGCATAGCGTGGTGTGAACATGTACTATGAAAATAAATGATGCGTTTTAATGTGCTATGAGCTCATGGAGCCCGTATAAACTTGACTATACTAGTCAAGGAACTTATATACCTCACGTTTAGGTAGCGTGGGTATATAACTTACTTGATATTAATTTAGCGTCGCACAGCATTCTCCGTAGAATTGACATGGCAACAGTTTACCTGAATTGAACCTTATTAACAAGGTGATTAGTGCCAAACTGTTGATCATTTTTTATTGACTATTTATTTGTATTCGATTGGCGCCACAATACAAAATCAAGATAACCTTTTATTTGGACATGACAGTTATTTATAGGTATATTGAAGCCAACGAATTAGAAATGATATAGAAGCATTAAACCCGCTCCACAATCCTGCTATAACTACGAAAACATTGGCCAATATGGGAGTGTAGTACGAGTATTGGTCTGTATTGGCGTTGTGTTGTGGATGTTGGGCGTTGGCCTAGTTTCGCCTCCGTGTTGCCAAAACGCGCTCCACATTCTCGACGAGAGGTCTCGGCCAAATGTTTGGTCGAGAAGGGGCGTTGGCGAAAGTACACGAGACAGGGTCTCCACATCCCGGTCGGCTTAGTTGAAAATAGACGTTGTTACGGAATGGACGTCCTGAAAATATCTGCCGTAATATAACTATCCGCTATAATCCTACTAATATTATAAATGTGGAAGTTTGTATGTTTATTACTCAATCACGCAAAAACTACTTAACGGATTAGGGTGAAATTTGGCCACATATAGTTTATGACCTGGAATGAGACATAGGATCCTTTTTATCCCGGAAATATATTAGGTACCTGAGGTATTCCCAAAAAAACTGACTAATTCCTAAAAAAATAGAAACATGTATTATCATTTATTTTTATTTTTAGGACTTAACTAACTTTTGAAATCGTATCAAACAAAAACGGCTGCAGCAAATGCAATTAACCGAAAATACGTTTATAGAGTGTGTTTCAAGGATCGCTTAGTCTTTATTTTAATTAAATCGGTGAACTTTTTCAAAAGTTATTAAAATATAAAGCCACGCAGAAGTTCAGTAATGTGATTTCATACAATGTAACTATTAATACAAAAAATAGATGGCGCTGATTGATTTCTACTTTTAGGTTTGTGTTTGTATTCGTTTCAAGATCTTGATCGAATTCACTGAGTTTGGATTAAAATATAAAAGTTAAATAGACGTCATATTTTATTATCTTCAAATATTTATGTTTAGGTAAAGGGTGGAAAAGTTTTATCTGTGTAGTGTGCGTGCACCTAAATCATTCAGACTATTTACTACGTATTTTGTGCGTTACACTATTTTAAAGTGATATCTTCTCGTGTCTCTCTGCAGCAAGCATTGGTAGCAGGTATTCCCGGTAACCCAAACCCGAGCAACGCAACTTCGACTGCGTGGACTTAGTGATTTGTGTAGTTTATTTTTTATCCAATCTGCGTTTCCACCAATCTGATTACTATTTAAATAGCAAAAGGTGAAAATGCGGGGAAAACTTTAATTTTTCATCATCATCAACCTGTTGAGTTCCCACTGCTGCGGCACAGGTCTTCTCTATAGATTCGATGGGAAGTGGCGGTTTGACTACCACTTTAAGCTCCTGACCCCGAAGCTGGTAAGTGCGGCGGCGGCACTAGGTAGACTGCTCCCAAATGTGGGGGGACCTGGCGCCAGCTGCCGAAAGCTGTACGCGGGGGTTATTAAAAGCATGGCACTGTACGGTGCGCCGGTGTGGGCGGACAGCCTCAGCGCGGTCAACAGAGCAGAGCTCAAAAGACCGCAAAGGCTGGTGGCCATAAGAGCGGCACGGGCGTACCGGACAGTGTCATATGAGGCGGCATGTATCCTAGCAGGGATGCCCCCCTGGGATCTGGAAGCACTCGTGCTTGCAGAACTGTACCAGGGGAGGATCCAGGCGAGGGAAAGGGGAGAGCGTGCCACAATAGAGGAAGTAGCAGGCATACGCAGGAGGCAGAAGAAGCGCTCAGGAGAGGCTGGAAGGAGCGACTCGACAACCCGATGGCGGGGGGGAGAACAATCGGAGCGATTCGGCCGGTATTCAGGGAATGGTTGGACAGGGGGAGGGGGACGCTTACCTTTCGATTGGTGCAGGTACTTTCCGGGCACGGATGCTTCGGAAAGTATCTGCACCGGATCCAGAGGGAGGCGGACCCCTCATGCCATGAGTGCGGCGATGCCGAGGACACGGCTCAGCACACTGTAGAGGTGTGCTCGGCGTGGACTCGGCGGCGTAGCACTCTGGCGGAGACTGTAGGGACGGACCTCTCGCTGCCCGGCGTGGTAAAAGCCATGCTGGATAGCGACGGGTCATGGCAGGCGGTGGTTTCCTTCTGCGAGGATGTCATCTCGCAGAAGGAGGCTGCGGAGAGAGTCCGCGAGGTGCAAACCCTCGCGGGCTCTCTTCGCAGCAGAAGGGCGAGGGGGAGGAGAGACAGGCGCACACTGGCGCTTCTTCTGCCACCCTGACAAAGGGGATAGCCCGCAGAGGGGCAAGGGGGGGACTGGGTCACGTAGGGACCCTAGGATGGTCAGCACGTCGAGTGCTGAACACCGTTTAACGGTCCTTTTCAGGACCAGGGTAGGAGCATCACCCCACAGTGAGTCTGATCATTGCGATTGGCGGTAGATGCTCAAAAGGCCCTTCTTAGGGCCAAGGGGGGCGGGAGAGGGACGGAGAGAACTACGCTCTCCCTCCCACTCCTGTGAGAGCCGCGGGTCTGCCCTGGGGGGGGGGGGGGGGGACCAGCCTGCATTGCACAAGCTCTCTTGATGCTGGTGCCCCTGATACTCCGGGGCACCTTCATCGGGGTGGGTCCGTTCGCGGACAATCACCTTGCGGGTGCGCGGACAGTCGGCAACGGTTGCCGCAACCACACCCGCACTCCCGGCGTGCATTGGGGGGACTGCGGTCCTCAGAATGTACGCCGGGTGACCGGTGCAGAAGTATTGTCTGGTTTTTAGTGGTCCTGTTCAGGGCGTTAGGTAGGGCCCTGCTCATTTCACCAGGCCTAAGGGCTGGCTGAAATGAGCAGGGAGGAGTCCCACATACCTTCTTCTCGCTCCCCCGGTGGTTGAAGGATGCGTAAAGCATTTCCCAGACAAAAAAAAAAAGGTCTTCTCTATAGATGAGATAGAGAGATAGGGACGTGACCCACCACGCAGGCTTAGCGCGTATTTAGTGATCGCAGTTTCCGTGGAACCACTTTTAAAACATAGTTCGTATTCCTTAATAAGTATTTCTAATTCGATGATTGAATATTAAAATTTTGTACACGTTTTGTTTAAAACCAAAAAATAAGCAGACAGTCATAAAGTTTTATAATTAAAGCCTATAAAGTAAATTGTCTTTTTTTTCATAATTATTAGGAATTACTAATTTCTTCATTACGATGATAGCCAACGAGCAACTATCCTTCTTGCGATTTGTTTGACCTGCGCCATTCTGATCGTATCCGTTGTCATCCAGCCTTGCATATCGAAGCAATGCGATGCCCTGTAAACAATTGATAGGTAAATATTTCCAAAACACTCACCAATTAGCCTAGCCTCAAAGTAAACCCTGTAAGGCTATTTTTAGAGTAGCGCTGATTATTACCGGCAACTTGTTTAAGTGCTTGCTTGCAACAGTGCTGAAATATCGGAGACTCATAAAACAAGGTACATGGTAACAATCCCGTTAATAGCTATAATGTTAGTGATCATGAAAGTTTAAAACAATATAACTTGTTTAAGTGTTATGCTGTTCTGTCCGCTGCGAAATACATATACATATCAAAAATTTAAATCTGTATTTCACAGTGTGGCTAAATATATGCTAGTATTGCTACAAAAGCACTGCCGTAATCGTATAAGGAAATGCATAATTTCGCGATAGATGGCGGCACTAAAACGAATTAAATACAAATTATTTACATATTTTACAAAGATTAAAAAGAAGCTATGTAGCGATTAACGAGGAAGAAATAAATTGTAATAAAAATATCAGACGATATCCATTAAATAAATATTGTATAACATCATATACATAATATTACTATTCAAAAATAGTTAATTGAAAGCTTCAAGCTTGTATTAAGGGTTTCAGCAAAAAACACGATAAAATCATTAGCTAGACCCGAGAAAACGGAGATCGAACCCGGTACCCTGCGAGATTGCGGGGTTAATTGATTACAAAAACACTGCTTTGTTTTTGCGATAGATATAAAATGATGAAAAAACTCTACAAACGTATAATACGTATATAAAACAGCACGGTTGTTGTGATGCCTTTTCTCAAGCTTTGTACCCTCCCAAACGTTCCATGACACTTGAGTGTCCTCAGTGGGCTGTCCTGTTTTTTGCTCATTAGCACGCTTTAGAAAGCATCCTTATCGCTGCCTGTGGTCTCTTTAGATTAGGCAAAATATGTCGATGGCGTTGTGATTAAAAATGCAGTGCTCTCTGAACTTTAGATTTTTTTACATTAGTTTGAAGTACCTACGCGCTCCGCGCAAAATGCTGACGTCGCGTCGTGTCATTTCGGTTGAAATGCCCAACCGAAATGACCCCGCTTTATGATTAAATAATGAGAAAAAAGAAAAAAATATTTTCTTTTTTCTCATTATTTAATTTTAAAGCGGGATATATCCACATGTTCTTCATGATTTATCCGTGTCAGTGATGTGAAAAGATTATAGTTTTATTTGCGTTACAATTAAAAAAACGTTAACACGTAGAAGTTTCATTTGTTACCAGCTATTTTAATATTATTTCATTTGTTATGTTTCTCTTAACTTAGGTTTTTTCGAAATATTTATTTATGAAAAGTTACTGTAAAGACATTGTAAATATTGGAAAGGTAAGGATCGTTGATTTAACCAAGCCTGTATTAAATAAACTACTTGGCATCTACCAAACGTTTAATACTTCACTATACAGGTATTGTAAAATACTGTGCAAATTTAAATATTCAATACTTAAATTTATTCAAAAAAAAAGCAAAATAAAAGAAAAAATACAAAACAATTAAAAAAAATAACCGAGCTCAGGAACGAACCACCGATCAATTGGTGTCGACCTCAAGACTAACCATTCAGCTAGCCGTCTGTTATGGTAATTGAAAAAAATACGTATACCTATATTGTGTCTAATACTCTACTTCCGTTTCATCCAATCTCAAATTACAACGGTGCTAAAGAAGTTTTGACTTCAATATATGAATCCGAGTAGCAGATTGAAAAAAGCCGATGACACGGGGCGAGTTTACAAGCTGCTAGCAAACTCGCTGGCTTGTAGCTTGTAACTAGCTATGGAGCTAGTATTGACATGGGTCATCGAGGATGTAGCTCAAAAGTTTTCTTCATCTTAAGGTACTTTTACCTACCTAGCAACAGTGTACGTAGGAGAGTTCTCCTTCAAGTCTTCCTCGTAGACGCCCAGCGCCCGCCACGGGTCGATGTACCCGTGGATGTTGATGGTGTTGTTTACGTCCGGCCCCAGACCACCAAACACTGTGTTTACGCGTTCTACGGCGTCGTACACAAACGCTTCGTCAAACCTAGAAATGGGAAAAAACATTCTACTTTTTCATTCACAAATGAGCAGTATAATATACTGCTGATAAAATAACAAATTATTGTCTTCTTCTTCATAATGTGTTAGTTGCAATTTTCCAATGCAAATAGTAAAATCCTAATAACGGACTGGCAAGATTCTGATAATAAGAAGTAATCGTCAGCAATATACATAGAGGTTACCTGTTACCTGCCAAAGCCGAATGTGTCTGTTTGATGTCGGCACTTCACATGCTATTCGTAGTTATTCACTATTTGTAAACTTGACAGCAGTCTGTCCTTATCATGCTCTATAAGGAATGAAAAGGACCGACTGATGTGAAGTTTACAAATAGCATACACGAATAGCAAAGTGAAGTGTCGGCATGAGATGAGCAATTGGGCAGTGTTTTGTATTGGAGTAATATTTAAAACTCTCTCATGTTCATTTTCTATCCTCAAGTTGCATTTTCATTTTCTATAACTTAGCAGGAGTTATTTTAGGGTGTGGCATAGAGGTGTGTCAATTTAGTACTCTAGAAGCTTAATCAATGATACTTACTTTGGATCAAACGCTCTCTTGCAAATATCAACGTAGAAATCGACGTTCAGCCAATGCAACGGATCGAATACGGTGCCGGACTGTGGTGCGGTCTGGTAATAACCATACTCCGTGCATGTCTGGTAGTACCACGCACGTGCTAAAATATGTAATATCGATCACGATATACGTTATGATGGTATGTAAAATTCCAGTTCTATTATGATCTTTTAACGCCAGGCAAGTTTCGTTGTTAAAGAGACATCACATCACACAAGAGCAGTATAGTTACACCACCACGGGGTAATGATAGGCCAGCATGGTCAGAAAAACTGGTCTTAACCAGTTTTTCTAGGCCACTTATGGCCTACTGACATGCCTGCCGCAGGGACAATCGGGGATTGGGGCAATATCGGCTTGTCTCAACACACATGCCTGCTATTCAGTGTTCGGGGGTATGTTGCGCTAAACACATGCGTTTATGAAGGTCCCAGTGTTATCAAAACATCAGAAGATCCGTAGACAGGGCCTTGGCTTTTTCTATGGTGCTTTATTAAAAAAAATATATAAATAATGTTTGTTTTTTTTATCCCACATGAGGGGCCGGTCTTTATATACTTCGATTACTCGTGTCCAAACTTCATGCTCATTATGATCTGCTGCCATCTCGATCGAAATACATGCGCTCCAATCACGCTACACACGCGGCAACGTCGCCCTGCAGGAACAATCTAGGGACCAAGGGTGGTCTCGTGCTCCTGCCGCCCTGCCGCAGGCCCGATTTAGAAAATCGCCCTGCTTGCCTACACACATCACAATAATTCATGAGGCAATTTAGGATCATCCCCACTCTTACACCCTAGATTGTCTCTGCGGCAGGCATGTCAGTAGGCACTTTTACATTTCTATCACATCGGCTATCTTCACATATACACTTTAACATCTACTTAGTAGGGTGGGGAAACTTTGCAATGCTTTTTATATAAAAAAAAATGAGGTTCTTCTTCTACTTTTACCAATTGCTTATCTATCACCATTACATAACGATCTTTTAACTATATGACAATAAGAAACAACAATATATTTTACTCACAATTCGTACGGGCACTGTATGAATTGATTATATTAGCGTGTGTCATGTTCCAGCAAGTTCCTAAGCCACGGCTTGCAGCAATATACCCTCCTATTTGTTCCATGGGCGTAGAACCTATAAAAAAATACGTAACAAAGGAGCGAATAAAAGAAAGTGAATTGAAATAAATTACCCACTTTTTTTAATTACACTCACACCTATTAGTCTATCCCAAAAGTTGTAGGCTTGTGTTATGGGATACTAGGGTAACGGATAGAATAGAAAATGTTTACCACCTTAAGGATCATAATTGCATGCACCCATTTAGGTCACAAGTTCTAAATGTCTATTTCATAATAATTTGTCTGACCATACATTACCTTTTTTGTAATGATATGACAAACAATCGCTCTAGGCGATGGACTGACTTGATATATATATATATATATAGATGTTAAAAAAATATGTTAAATCATGATGTCGCGCAAAGTTAAGCTGGGATGTTTTGTGGTGAGGTTTCAGCTCCACTTTAATATAGCATGGTGTCTGTAGTGTAGTCCAGCACTTTGCACAGCTCGTCGAATCGTCCGAGCACTCGCATCATATAAAGCAGCAAAATAACTAGTTGGTGTGAAACCGTTCTCTTCATAACGACGAATCATTTCTGTTATTTGCGCGGCGGTTAGAATTGGTCGTCGTCCTGAATTATTTCTATGATCTGTTAAGTGCCCATCTTCGCCGTGACGCCAGATCCAAAACCTCACAGTGAATAGCGATATATTGAGTTCTCGTGATATATCACTAATACTTGTCCATCTTCGTAGAGAAATATTATTTCAGCCCTTTGCTCCAGGGTCAAACTTGTTATTTTATTTGGTTATGAAAATATTATTCGTAAAATTTTGCTCTTGTCCAAACAATGTACAAATAATATTTTTTTTATAAATGTCATTTCAACAAATAAAGAAATGAGTTTCAATATCAAAAAGTAATTTAAAATTCTTTTTGTTATTCTCGATGTGTCATATTGCATAACAACTTTTGAAAGGTAATAAGTTACTTGATATGGCATTTTAGATTTAGTGAAAAAAGTGTGAATCTATTTTCAAAACTGGTAAACATTTTCTGACCGCCACCGTACATATACTGATACATATATAAGTATATTTATATAGATATACATATTAAACATCCATGACTGGTGTACCAATGCTCGTATTCATCACAGAAACATCTGCCCCCACCGTGATTCGAACCTGAAAAGTAGCCGACGCATTGAAACCTGGCGTACAAACCATTTGGTCACGGAGGTCGTCAAATTCATAAAGATTCTTTGTACCTTTATAAATTTTCTTCACTTGGTTGCAGAATCGAAGGATGATATTAACAAAACATTTAATTCACTGATAATACTTTTGATAACGTTAAACTTTAAATAAATATGCATAGTAGGAAAACCAATATTTTCAAGATAGCGTTTATCACAAAATATCGTACTTACCAGTTTGTAGTAATAATAATATTTTGTATGAAGATTTATTCAATTTAATTAAAGATGAATTTAATATAATATTCAAACGCAAAGTTATTAAATGCCATAGCTTTAAAAAGAAATTTAGTGATTGGGCCACACCGGGTATTTACAAAAGTAGAAATATGTTGTATCAATTATATGCTCTCAAGGCAACCTCATCTGATCCTAAGTTTATAGAATATGTCAAAAACTATTCAAAAACTTTTAAAAAGGTGTGTGCCATAGCAAAAGCTAAGTTTTTATCAAAAAAAATTAGTCTTTCCGATAATAAAATAAAGACAACTTGGATTATAATTAATAATGAAACTGGAAGAAATAAATTTAATGAACACACATATTCTTTAAAAATAGACAATAAGATTATTAGGACAGATGATGCCGTTGCAAACACTTTTGAAAATTTCTTTTCTAGTGCACCATTTGAAACAACTAGAAATCTTAATTCTTGTTCTAGGTTAGCAATGACCCTCCTTGAGTCAAGTGTTGATAAGTGCAGTAATGATTTTCATTTTAGACACATCAGTAGCGACTGTATTATAAAAACTTTTAACTCAATTAAAATTAAAAAGACAGAGGATTATTGGGGAATATCAACATATATAATAAAACCGATTATCACTGTCATTGCGCCACAACTGGCCATTATATTTAACAAATGTATTGATGAGGGAGTGTTTCCAGATCTAATGAAATGTGCTAAAGTTATCCCTCTCTTTAAGGCTGGTGACAAATCAGATCCCAGCAATTTTAGGCCTATATCTGTATTACCAGCGCTAAGTAAAGTATTTGAGAAAATAATTTATAACCAATTACTAGCACACTTTTCTATAAATAAGCTATTTCATTTAAAACAGTTTGGTTTCACTAGAGGCAAAAGTACTACTGATGCTGGAACTGCACTTCTCAAACACATCTTTGATATATGGGAGAGTAAGCACGATGCTATTGGCATTTTTTGCGACTTATCAAAGGCGTTTGACTGCGTTAGCCATGAAACATTGTTAAATAAAATGAAGCATTATGGTGTATCAAATATTTCACTAAGTCTGATACAGTCTTATCTTTCTGCTAGGATTCAGAAAGTAGTTATAAATGAAGCTGAGTCTACAGGAGCACCCATTTCTATGGGCGTGCCCCAGGGTTCAATATTGGGCCCATTGCTTTTCCTTATTTATATCAATGACTTTCCTCACTTTACAAGAGATTTGTGTGAGACAGTACTATTTGCTGATGACACCTCTTTATTGTTTAATGCTAGAAGAGGAAATGATTGTTATGACGAAGTAAATTGTGCTCTCTCTGAAGTCCTTCACTGGTTTACGGTAAATAATTTAAAACTTAACTCCAGTAAAACAAAATGCGTTAAGTTTACTCTACCTAATGTGAGGCAGGTTAATCTATATATATAAAAATGAAACCCGTTTTCCGTTGTCACGACATAACATGAAAACGGCTTGACCGATTAGGCTGATTTTTTTTTAGAATATTCCTTGAAGTACGAGGATGGTTCTTACGAAGAGAAAAATTAAAAAAAATGCCTGAAAATGTCAAAAAACAAAACTTTTCTTTACTCCCATACAAACGATTCGTAATAATACTTAAAAGTCAATTTGAACTTTAATACCATACCATAAATGTCAAATGTTAGTGGAGAGATTCTGGGAAGGCAAAACAATTGAGCGTCGTGATGTCAATAGAAGTTTGGAAAAGATAAATATACCATCTTCAGTTTTTTTATAATCTATATATATAAAACTCAAAGGTGACTGACTGACGTAGTAATCTATCAACGCCCAGCCCAAACCACTGGACGGGTAGGGCTGAAATTTGGCATGCAGGTAGATGTTATGACGTAGGCATCCGCTAAGAAAGGATTTTGATCAATTCTACCCCCAAGGGGATAAAATAGGGAATGAAAGTTTGTATGAAACTTTGTCAATTTTAAAACCGAACGGGCTGAGACTTTGCATGCAGGTATAAGAATAATAATAGATGAATGTCATTGTGTATAAAACAAGCCTGAGAACAAAAACTGTAGTCTACGCTTCAGCTCTACACCGAAGCGAAGCGAGGGCGAGCCTCTAGTCTATATATATAAAACTCAAAGGTGACTGACTGACATAGTGATCTATCAACGCACAGCCCAAACCAATGGACGGATCGGGCTGAAATTTGGCATGTAGGTAGATGTTATGACGTAGGCATCCGCTAAGAAAGGATTTTGATCAATTCCACCCCCAAGGCGATAAAATAGGGAATGTTAGTTTGTATGAAACTTTGTCAATTTTAAACCGATCGGGCTGAGACTTTGCATGCAGGTATAAGAAGAATCATAGATGAATGTCATTGTGTATAATACAAGCCTGAGAACAAAAACTGTAGTTTACACTTCAGCTCTACACCGATGCGAAGCGAGAGCGGGCCGCTAGTACTAGTATAAAAATAAATGACCAGCCTGTAGAGTTAGTGGATTCTACAAAGTTTCTGGGTATTACTTTAGACTCTCGTCTGCAATGGGATCCTCATATTGATGCCTTGTCAAGTAGATTGAGCTCTGCAGCTTTCGCTGTTAAAAAAATTAGACTCTTAACTGATGTGGAAACGGCAAGATTAGTTTACTTTGGTTACTTTCATAGTGTTATGTCATATGGCCTTTTGTTGTGGGGCTCAGCCGCTAATACCGAAAGTATTTTCATACTGCAAAAGAGAGCTGTTCGCGCCATATACAATTTAAAGGCAAGAGAATCCCTTAGAGAAAAATTTAAAGAAATTAATATTTTAACACTGGCGTCGCAATACATTTATGAAATTTTAATATATGTACGAAAAAATTATGATGAATTTGCAAAAAAAAGTCAAACCCGTAACTTTAACACGAGATTTAAGAACAAGCTTGCCGTTCCATGTTTCAGACTCCAAAAATCAAGAGGTTCATTTCTGGGTTGTAGTATTGCATTGTTTAACAAAGTTCCCCAAGATCTGATTGAGCTTCCACTGACTAAATTTAAATCACAGATCAAAAATACTCTTATGAATAAGGGCTATTATAAAGTTGATGATTATCTAAATGATCGTAATGCATGGACATAGTGTTTCTTATAATTTGATATTAAATGGGTATTACTCATTTTTCATAACAGTAATATTGTACCTATCTAATGCCGCTTCCTATATACTACTTAAAATGTTAACTATAAAATTAATTGTAACTAAATATTTATATTCTAGATGATGTAATGGAAAGTGACTTCAGACGTATTTCTGAAGTAATTTTTCAACTTGACGACACTGTATATAACAATACAGGGAGAAAAAAACAGCCCTTGCTGAGTTTCTTGCCGGTTCTTCTCAGTACAAGGTCTCCCGCCGTAGTTTTGCGAACCGATGGCGTAGCTTCCTGACCTTCACAAGTGCTTGTAACAGCCTAGACTGAATAAATGACATTTCATTTCATTTCATTTCCCACATGTAATTCAATTAGCGACACAAATTGTCCGGAATGCAAATGGCGTTTGCTAGTCTGGTAAGAACTCAGGGTGAGAAACTTTTAGGTTTTTTTTTGTCCAGCCATAGGTACTATTCTATAACAGGGCGGGGTGAG